AAAGTACAGAGGATTTGTAGGGTGGTGAAATTGTCCTGCATTATACCATGAAAGTATTGTTAATCACTTATCAAATTCCATACAGTCACCTACAACACAGGAGAGTACTATAGACAAATTGCTACACAGAGATATTAAAAAAAAAAAAAAAAAAAAAAAAACAAAAAACACGGAGCCGGATATAGGGCTTAAAGCCTGAGAGAGATCAGAGAAACAGCCACCAGCTAACCACACCTCACTGATACCTCAGCTTCCAAATGCGAGCAACTTTCTGTCTACCCACACCAATATTTCTTGCTTTTCTGCCATTTGATATGATTTTCTCTCTCTGTCACTTCCTGTCTGTCTGTACTGACCTCCAGACTCCTTGTAAAATGGTACCAATGTTTCTAGTACTGCCCACTGTGAGAATAGAAAGCGTTCAGTGCTGAATTTTCCCTGGGTCTCCAGATTATATCTCCAAGTGTGGTAACAATCATTTAAAAGATTTCTACTTACTGAGATTAGATTCATAAATCATGAACCCTCCAGAAAACCAACAGTAATGGGACAATAATAGGACTAAATAAATAAAACATTTACCATTTTCTTGTTTTTCTCCGTCTTTTGGTGTCATTTGAATTTCTGGGTTGTTTTTCCCAACACCAGGTATTATAGAAACAGGCCTCAATAAGACTTTCCATGCTTCAAAAACGTGGGTCGTGAGAAAGTTGTCTATAAATTACTACAACTTCTGGTACCTGAAAGAACTATACCCGTTCCCAGAAGACCCCATATGGGACCTGCTGGAAAAACCTTGCCTCTCCCCAGCCATGAAGGCCTGATGTTGAATTGAGACTAAATAGAATGAAGAAATGGTGAATACTTAAAATCCATGGATTTGTAACTCATAAGAAAATAATCTTTAAAGTTACTTATTCAACAATCTTTGCACCATAATTTACAAGAAGTCTTCAGGTTTTAGATCTTCATAGGTGAGTAAATTTACAGAGTCATCTGGTCTCGTCACAGAACCACTAATGTTAAATCTATAACCATGTGGCTGCTTTTACTTGTATAGGAAACAAAATTCAGATTGAAACCCATGGCCTTGGAAATCTGCAATCTGTCCTGACTCATTCAAGGGATTTCTGGTGGCTCTCCACCACCCTATGGGTCTTCACTTGCTCTTAGAGCAGCCTCAGGAAGGGGAGGTACTAAGTCTGCAGACTGCTGCAGCTTCGCTGTGGATTTATTAGTTACAGTGAACAGCAAAATGAGACAGGCAACAGATTCGTGAAAAGAGGAGACCATCTCTGCTCTTGTTAGACCTAGAACATCTTGTGGAAGCTCATTCGAGATGGTTCTGGGATATAATAGTTACATTCAGTAGGTTTTATATCAACTTGACATAACATAAATTTCCTCGGAAGAGGGATCCTCAGTTGAATTGCTTTGATCAGATTGGCTTGTGGCCATATCTGTGAGAGCTTGTCTGAGCTGATGATTGACAGGGGGCCCTAGCTCACTGGGGGAGGGGCCATCCATAAACATGTGGGTCTGGGATGTAGAAGAAAGCAAGCAGAGTGCAAGGCAGAGTGTGATCCAGGAAGCAGCGTCCCTCCATGACTTCTGAGTTTTGGCCCTGACTTCCCTCAGTGGTTGACTGTGACCCTTGAGTTGTAAGCTAAAATTAACTTTTCTTCACGAAGGAAATTTTGTTTTATCACAGCAGGAGAAACAAGACTAGAACAACAGTGAACTAAGAGCTGCCACTATCTGATGCAGTGAACACGGGGGGCAGAGATAACAGTCTGTAGACTTTATCCCAAAGGTACAAATAGTTAAACCTGAAAGGTCTGCTGAAAACAGAGAGTGACCAAGGAAGAGAAGTATGGATCACCTGGCTCCCACCATGGGGCCCCCACAGAGGACGAGGAAGCAGAAGCAATGTTAAAAGGTAATCCAGGGAGCCCTGGTCAAGAGATTAACAGTTCTAACACAGGCTTAGATCACATTTCTTACTGTCCTCAATCAAGCTGGGCCTTTGGACAAGACAGGCACCCTGATAGCATGGACAGTCAGTGGAGAAGACCCTCGTTTTGTTATACTTGTTGCCTTAGGGTGTTATGGCTGAGAACCATGTTGAGAGGGAACATATTGTTTAAGACTGAACTGGTTAAGGGTGGGATGACAAGGGACAGTTACATGCCAGGAAACCGGAAGTCAGCATTTCCCTTCCCTATTTAGGAGAATGTTCACATGAGGCTGCTGTGGATTGGGAGAGGGATGGACCTAGCTACACTGGGACATTCAACAGACATGAAGCTTGAGTCATGAAGGTCTTATTTATAAGTTCATGATCTCACTTGTTTGCTTTTGAAAGGATAACTGCAGTGGAGACTGATGCCCCTCAACAAAAACAATTGGTAGCTTCAGAAAGGCATACAGTGTTCCACTCCGGGATGAAAACTCTAAAGATACGTGCAGGGGACCTGACTTCAGCTGTCTCACATGACACATTCAATACTGTGATCAGCAAGATCAGGAAAACCAAGAGGGGTCTTCTAGTGATGGATCTCAGTGTTCTATCTGCCTGATCCACACCCAAATACATCAGGGAGAGATCTCATAGCTTTGATATTAGCTGTCACAACATGTACAAACCGGGAGACTTTTGAGTGAGTGAGAAACTAGCATGTCTACTAGCTGCAAAGCTTATGGTTTTTGAAACCTTATCTTGGTACAGAAATGATAGAAGAAAATGGAGATAGCAGCACTGCTCAGCAGCTTTGTGAGCCACAACCAGCTCTGGGTACAGCACAGGTTGGAAGAGTCTAAAGAGAAGACCTCCAGTGTCAGCAAGCAGCCTTCCAGCTGGCAGGGTCTGGTGGTCGAGAATTCAGAAGGAAGCTTCTGCATTCCCTTGTTTTTGTGTTAGAGTTTTTTTTTTTTTTTTTTTTTGTTGTTGTTGTATGGTTTTGATTTTGGTTAAATTTCCTTTTGCCTTGAATGTTTTTGCCTTTATTACAGTCTTTTATTATTTGTTTTATTTTAATGCAACTCGTGAAGTTTTGGAATCTTCATATATCTAAGTAATTTTGCTTAAAGATTTCTTCTCTGTAAAACAGTTGGTTTTTATGTGTTCCTCTTTCCTATATGTCTATGATACCATCATATTCTGCCTACATTCTTCTTTCCCATTTCACCTTCCTTGCCAATTCTTTCTTTTGTGTGATTATTATTTTACTTTATCTATGTAATTTTTTAACTGCATAGTGCCCTGTACAACATATTTCCTCATGGGTGGTGTAGTAGAGTGCTTGGCTTGACTCTATTTAGACTGTATATCTAATTTGTTTTGGTTTACTGTTTTTGCTGTCACAGGGATGGACTTCCCCTCTCTAAGTTGGACCAGAAATGCACCTCATCTGGCAAGGCTACTCATCAGGACAATTAACAAATCTGAACTGGGAAATGACTCAGTAGAGAAAAGCCCTTGTTGAGCAAGCCTGAGGGCCTGCATTTGAATCCCCTTATTTTATCATACTCTTTTGTCATTTTATTTTAATCCCTAGAATCCCCAGAACTCCCATGAAAAAATGAACACATTGGTGTGAGCTTCTACAATCCTGGCATTTACGTGGGAAAATGAGAATAAGACACACACATACAATATTCATGCACCCCAGATGAGATATTCATTCCAAAGACTGCACAAATCACAACACAGAAGCACATAAACATGAAAAACCAATGCGACGATCAGAAATATGAAAAATGCTAGTTGGCTACTTTGAAAGTTTTCTTGTGAAATGATCTTTGTTTTCAAAGAGGATACAAATGAACAGATGAGTGAGATAATACAAGACCTGGAGAAGAATCAGCCACCTGGGTGAGAAAGCTAGCCACATGTACACGAAATCAATAACGTGAATGAAAAAGGCTACAAACTGTGTAAGGAACTCAACAATGAATTGAGACTTTTCACAAAAAGGTAGAAATCAGAGAGTACATCCTAGTTTTCCTCTTTCTCATTTGTAATCCCTTGCTCTGTCTTGTTTTCATGGACAAGCATGGCTACATACCCGGATCAGTTCTTTCTCCTATCGGAACCCGGAAGTGTGGCATGTCTAGAATAACCAGCACATTTGCCACCCATTAAGAGAATGGGATGAGATTGGAAACTAAGCAATGGAACCTCTTGTGCCTTCTCTTGGACAATTTTCCTTCAGTTGGTTGACATGTTCATCTTCAAAGTGATGATTTTTGTTTTATATAATTATATTTTATTTTGCTATTTTTTTTATAATGAATGAGTGAAGGAATAACATCTAAGCACTCTGGTAAATGGTAACGACTGAACTGTCACTTATATCTTCTGGGAGAGGGAAAATCAAATTTCCTCAGTTGGTTGATACTGGTGATTGACCACACCAGGACATGCCTCATGTTTAGGAGTAGTTGACCAACATACAATGGACTACATAATTTGTGTGTGTGTGCTTTTATTTGGTTGTAGTTTGATGTTTTGTTTTGTTTTTTCTTTTTGGACTTGGCTTTATTCTGTTTTCTTTGTTTTGAAGTGATTTGTTATATTGAGTTTTTGTTTATTTTTTGAGAAAGAACTTAAAATTGGATGGGTAGGAAGGAGGCTAAGGTCTAGAAGGATTTGGGGCAAGGGAAGAATGTGGTCAAGATATATTTAAATTTTAATATTGATTTAGATAACAAAAATATAATAAAAAAGAAAAATTGTAAAAAAAACTAATTAAAATATTTGCATTGGGATAAAATTCGAATTCCTTATTACAATAAAAGACACACAAACACATGTGTTTGTTTTTCTTGCTTTCTCACATTACTATTTCTTCTAGCATTTTCTTTCTGCACCTGTGCACATCTGTAGCACTAAGTAGACTCAGTGGCTAAGTTGAGAAGGAAGAGTGGTGGAAAGGAAAAGAAGAAGAATGGGAAGGGGTGAGGGACTGGAATAGACTTGATCAAAACACATTGCATGCATGCGTAAAACTTCCAAGCAATCAAAAAACACTAAAAGGTTAATTCATTTTTATAAAGGCTATGAATAAAGACCAATTTACATTCTTTTACATGTAAATATTCAGTTTTCATAGTAAAAAACACATATACATTTATTCATTTCTCTCTCTCTCTCTCTCTCTCTCTCTCTCTCTGTGTGTGTGTGTGTGTGTGTGTGTGTGTGTGTGTGTACAAAAGAATAACTTTTGTGATAGTCTTTTCTACTTCCACCCTGTGGGTTACAGGGACAGAACTCCAGTCACCATGCTTGGTGACAAGCACCCTTACCTACTGAGTCTTCTAACTGGCTCCTTAATATTTATAACAAGATTTTGGGGTTGTTCTTTATTTTTAGCATATTTTTCTTTTATTATTTAAAACAATTTTAAAATTTAAAAACATTTGATCATATTCTTCCCCTCCCCTCTCCCTAAGTTCTTTTGGATTTTCTCACTCTCATCACTTACTCAACTTTGAGTTCATTCTCAAAACAAACAAACAAAACCCCCACAATACAATGACAGAACACTCCAAAACAAAGAAAACAAAATAAAACCACACCCATCTTCCCCAAACCCACCAAACTGTCACACAAAAGACTGTGGAGTCCATTAAATGTTAGTCAACTGCTCCTAAACAGGAGGCCTGTCCTGGTGTGGTTGATATACCTAGTGTCATTCTATTGAAGGAAACTGATTTCCTCTCCCAGAAGGTGTAAGTGACAGTTCAGTTGTTAGCTTTTACCCTAGGGACTAGGTTCAGTCTTCATTTAAAAAAAAATAACAAAATAAAATATAATAAGATTAAGCAAAAGATTGAAATCACCAAATAATGGGGAGATAGAGTCCAAATTGGCCACCTCTTGTCACCAAATAAAGCTTCCAGTACCAGGATTGGATTATATCTAATTGAGTTGTTGGCTCAAAGGGAGCCACCAAATCACCAAACAACCCAGGCTGTTGCCAGGCAATAGGTTGCTCTGCACAAACTGACAGCGAGGTCCATTGCCAAAGACAACACCTACACAACTCATTGATGATGAAGACAAAGTTAAACCAATGCCTACATACATCATTCAAATCTACCTTCCAGCATATTTGGTACAAGAATGTACTCTGCATGCTCTCAAAAGAGAAATGTATGAGAACTCTCCAATTTATTTATGCAGGTACTTAGAGTTATGAATGTTCTTTTTAGCATCACTGTCACAGTGTCCCATAAGTTTGGGTATATTGTACATTCATTTTCATTTAATGCTCTACTAGCAACTTAACAGCATACTGGAAAGCTCTAGAACAAAAAGAATCAAGCTCACTCAAGAGGGGTAGATGGCAGGAAATAATCAAACTCAGGACTGAAATTAATAAAATGGAAAGAAAGAGAACAATATGAAAAAAACAATGAAACAAAGAGTTGGTTCTTTGAGAAAATCAACAAGAGAGACAAAATCTTAATAAACCTAACTTAAAAGACACAGAGGGACTATCCAAATTAATAAAATCAGAAACAAAAGGAGAGGGACATTACAACAAACACCAAAGAAATCTAAAGAAACATTAGGTCATACTTCAAAAATCTGTATACCAACAAACTGGAAAATCTAAAAGAATTTTTTCCATACATACCACTTACCAAAGTTAAACCAAGATCAGAAAGACAGTTTAAACAACTTATAACTCTGAAGAAAAAAAGAAGCAGTCATTAAAAGTCTCCCAGCCAAAAAAAAAAAAAAAAGCCCAGGGCCTAATAGTTTCAAAATTCTACCAGACTTTCAAAGAAAAGCTAAAACTGTTATTCCTCAAATTATTCCACAAAACGGAAACAGACGGAATACTGCCAAATACATTTTCAGGGGCCGTAGTCACCCTGATATCTAAACCACACAAAGATTCAACAACAAAAGAGAATTGCAGACCCAATTTCTCTCATGAACATTAATGCCAAAATACTCAATAAAGTACTTGCAAACCAAATCCAAGAACACATCAAAAAGATCATCCACCATGATCAAGTAGGCTTCATTCCAGGGATGATTCAACGTATGAAAATCTGTCAATGTAATCCACCACATAAACAAACTGAAAGAGAAAAACAACATGATCATCTCATAAGATGCTAAAAAAAACCTTTGACAAAATCTAACACCCACATGATAAAGGTCTTGGAGCAATTAGGAATGTAAAGGACATTCCTAAACATAATAAAAGAAATATACAGCAAACCTGTAAACAACAGCAAATTAAATTGACAGGAAATTAAAGCATTTCCACTAAAATAAGGAACAAGACTAAGCTACACATTCTCTCCATATCGATTTAATATGGTAATTGAAGTTCTAACTGGAGCAATAAGGTAACTTAAGTAGATCAAGAGGATACAAATTGGAAAGGAAGAAGTCCAAGTATCACTATTTGCAGTTAATATCATGATAGTATAATTTAACAATCCAAAAAAGAAATTACCAGGAAATTCCTACAGCTGTTAAACGTCTTTAGCAAAGTGACTGGATACAAGATTCATTCAAAAGTACCAGTAACCCTCCTATATACAAATGAAAAATAAACTGGGTAGAAATCAGGGAAACAACACCCTTCACAATAGCCACAAATAACATAAAATATCTTGGAATAATTCTAACCTTTGAAGTGAAAGAATGTATAACAAAAACTTCAAGTCTTTTAAGAAAGAAATTGAAGAAGATATCAGAAGATGAAAAGATCTTCCATTTGCTTATAGATTGGTAGAATTAAAATAGTAAAAATAGCCATCCTACCAAAAGCAATCTATAGATCTGACACATTGCCATAAAAATCCCAAGAGTTATTTACACAACTTGAAAGGACAAAACTCAAATTTGTATGGAAAAACAAACAAACAAACAAATAAAAAACAGAATGTCTAAAACAATCCTCTACAATAAAAGAACATCCATAGGTATCACCATCCCTAATTTCAAGCTATACTATGGCACTATAGTGGTGGCACACAACTTTAATCCCAGCACTCTAATGTCAGAGGCAGGTGGGCCTCTGTGAGTTCTAGGCCAGTCTGGTCTACAAAGTGAGTTCCAGGATAGCCAGGGCTACACAGAGAAACTGTATTTAAAAAAAAAAAAAAACAGACAGACAGACAAACAAACAAAAAATCCACATGGTATTGGCATAAAAACTGACAGGTTGATCAATGCAATCAAATTAAAGACTGAGACATAAATCCACATACTGATTTTTTATAAGAAGCCAGAAATAGACAATGGAAAAAAGAAAGCATCTTCAACAAATGGTATTGGTGTACCTGAATGTCTTCATGTCAAAGAATGCAAATATTTCATTATCTATTACCCTGTACAAAACTCAAGTCTAAGTGTATCAAAGACCTCAACATAAACCCAGCTACACTGAACCTAGTAGAAGAGAAAGTGGGGAACAGCCTTGAATGCATTGGCACAGGAGATGACTTTCTGAACAGAACAACATTAATGCAGACACTAAAACCAACAATCAATAATGGGACCTCATATGAAACTTAGAATCTTCTGTAAGGCAAAGGACACCATCAATAGGACAAAACAGCAACCTACAGAATGGGGAAAGATTTTTACTAACTCTTCATCCCACAGAGGACTAATTTCCAATATATATCAATATAAATGTCAAGAAACTAGACATCAAAAACAAATAATCCAATTTAAAAAATGGATTACATATTTAAACAGAGAGCTCCCCAGAAATCTCAGATAGCTGAGAAACACTCATAGATATTCAATACCATTAGCCATTATGGAAATGCAAATCAAACCAACTGAGATTCCATCTTACATCTGTCAAAATGGCCAAGAACAAAAACACAAGTGACAGCTCATGATGGTGGTATAGCAAGGGGAACACTCCTCCATTGCTGGTGGAAGTGCAAATTTGTAAGCCACTATGGAAGTCAATATGGAGGTTCCTCAGAAAATTGGGAATTCATCTACCTCAGGACCCAGCTATACCACTCTGAGGTATTGGGGTGCTCTCTATCCTATCACAGGACACTTGCTCAATGATGTTCATAGCTTCTTTATTTATAATAGGCAAAAATTGGAAACAACCTAGATGTCCCTCAACAGTGAATTGATAAAGAAATTGTGGTAATGTATACAATGGAGTATTACTAATTAGATTCATGCTTCAGGGTAGTGATAAGATGACTTCTAATGATATTCTGTTCAGCCATCATCAGAGAAGTTTCCTCCTGCAGCAGATGGAAACAAATACAGAGCCCCACAGCCAGATGTTACACAGAGAGTGAGAGGCCTTGGAACACTCAGCCCCAGGGAACCCCTTGGAAGAGGAGGTAGAAAACTGTAACAGCCAGAGAAGGTGAAAGACATCAAGAAAGCAATGTCCTCTAAATCAATTTGAGCGAAGCTCATAGGAACTCAGAGACTGAAGCAGCCTGTACAGGTCTACACCATGTCTTCTGCACATATATTATGACTTCCAGTTTAGTGATTTTATGGGATTCCTTAGTGTTCTAGCTAGTGGGTATCTGATTCTTGTGCCTTCTCTCTGCCTCTTTTCCTTCTGTTTATTTGTCTTGTCCAAGATTGTATTTTAATTACATTTCATCTTTCCTGTTCCTCTCTCCAAGCCTTCTATATACCCCTTCTATATACCACTCTCCTTTACATTCATGGCCTCTTTTTTCAAAGTTATCATTACATGCATATATGTATTCGCATAAGCATATATTCCCAAATATAACCTGTGAGTCCCTATAACAATAATTTTAAGTTTTTAATCTGCCATTTAA